TAGGTCTTCTTTTTTTTAAATTAAAGTACCATGATTTACAAAGTTATTCATAGTTGAGTTTTATGCATACAGTATTGCAGCACCAATCCCACTACCAGTGTCAAACTTCCCTCCACCGGTGTTCCCAAGTTCCCTCTCATATCTACCCTCCGCAGCCTGCCCTCTTGACAGGCACCTTTCTGAGTTTGGTTGTTAAAGTTTGGGTCTCTGGATTTCAGTGACTATTATTTTTGACTCTGTGGTTTGGATATTTGGCTCTTATCATTCCTTAACACCACTTTTGTACCCAACTCCCTTGACCTGGCGTCCATTGTTTCTCATCTGTCTCTCCTTCCCCTCTCCTCCACTCTATTTTCTCTTTTCTTTTCTTTTTTGGGTCACGCCTGGCGATGCTCAGTGGTTACGCCTGGCTCTGCACTCAGGAATTATTTCTGGCAGTGCTCAAGAGACCCTATGGGGTGCCAGGGATTGAACCTAGGTTTGCCACATACAAGGCAAACACCCTACCCACTATACTATCGCTCCAAACCATCCCATCCACTTTTTCTTTCCTTCTCCTGTACTCTGGGGCCAAGTTTGATCTGGGCATTTCCACCCTTTATCTTAAAGTGTTATGAAGCATAAGATAATCTTATCCAATCCTAAAGGGAAAACCCTTTCAATTTCTGAAGGGCATAGCACAGTATTTATATAGTAAATGAGGTTTGGGGGAGTTTGTCAATTCTATGATAAGGAGATACTGTTCACATAGCATATATTATATAATGCCACCAGTGGGGCAGCCATCCTTAATAAAACTCTTGGTTATTTTTTCTTTCAGGGAAATTTTTGTGTTCATCATTTGTGGATTATTTAAAGACTGAAATGGTGGGCTGGAGCAATAGCACAGCGGGTAGGGCGTTTGCCTTGCACGCGGCCGACCTGGGTTCGGTTCCCAGCATCCCATATGGTCCCCTGAGCACCGCCAGGGGTAATTCCTGAGCGCAGAGCCAGGAGTAACCCCTGTGCATTGCCAGGTGTGACCCCCCCAAAAAATTGAAAAAAATAAAGACTGAAATGGTGATCACACAAAATGTGTCTGATTACATTTTGCCATAAGATGAGTTTGTGGGTGCCAAAGAGATAGTACAGCGGACATGGTGCTTACATTGCACACAGCTGATCCACATTCAGTCCCTGGCACTCCACCTGGTCCTTCAAGCCCCTCCATGAGTGATTCTGAGTGCAAAGCCAGAAGTAATCCCTGAGAACTCCTGGGTATGCCCCCCCAAAAATAAATAAAAATAAGTTTGTACTTTTTCCATTTCATTCATTGGTCTGTTCTTCATTTTTCTTTATTTTGGAGCCTAATGATGCTTAGGGTTTCTCCTTTGTCGGGGATTATTCATAGCAGTATTCAGGGACCATATGTGGTGCTGGGCATTAAACCAGGTTCAGCTACAATGCAGGGCAAGCACTATCTCTCTGGCCCTATTTTTTTTTCTTTTTAAAAATGAATAATTAGGGTGAGATTTGGGGGCCATGCATGGAAGTTCTCAGGGTTTACTCCTGTTCTACACTCAGAGGTCACTCCTGGTGGAGTTAGGGAGATCATATGGGGTACTGGGGATTGAACCCGTGCTGGCTGCGTGCAAGGCAAGTGCTCTATCCACTGTACTATCATGTCTGCCCCTAAAATGCATATATTAAGTCTCTCTTGGCCTATGATACCTTAGACATGGAGTGCTGTTTATTCCCACAATCCTGTTGTTGCTCTTTTTAACTGTTCTTACCTTTAGGGTTCTTCCATTTTCAATCTTTATTACCTAATAAGGGCTGGAGCGATAGCACAGCGGGTAGGGCGTTTGCCTTACAAGCGGCCAACATGGCCGACCCGAGTTCGATTCCTCCGCCCCTCTCGGAGAGCCTGGCAAGCTACCGAGAGTATTCGATATGCCAGACACAGTAACAACAAAGTCTCCAATGGAGACGTTACTGGGCCTGCTCGAGCAAATCGACGATCAACGGGAGGGCCTTTATATTATTTATTTATATTATACCTAACTTTCAGTGACTGTCATTAAAAACCTCATCATTGAATTTATGCTTTTTAATATGCAAATGACAGTGAATTTTGTAGATCATCTTCCCCCTCCAGTCTCATCCATCTCTTGTTAATTGTGGGTGTCATTCCCAGCAGTGCTGGGGTGTGCCCATACATGCATACATGGATCAAACCTAGGGCCTCATACATATAAGATTTTTGCTCTTCCTAAGCCCATCCCTTCCTGAGGCTTGTCATCCCTTTGTATTGGTTCTGTTTGGGGGCCACAACCTGCAGTGTTCAGGGATTACTCCTGGATTTGTGCTCAGGGATCTCCCCCTGTAGGGTTCAGGGTTCCATATGGGGTGTAGGGAATCGAAACCTGGTCAGCTATGTGCAAGACAAATGCCCCACTTGTACTATCACTCTGGCCCCATGTCATCTCAATTTATTTTTTGCATTTTGGGTCACACCCAGCAATGCTCAAGGGTTACTCCTGGCTCTGACCTCAGGAATTACTCCTGATGGTCATCAGGGAACCATATGGGATGCTGGGGATTGAACCCGAGTCGGCCATATGCCAGTCAAACATCCTCCCCACTGTACTATTGCTATAGCCCCTTTTTCTTAAAATAAAAACATAGAAAAGAGTCTTGAGAGATAGTACACTGGGTAAGGTGCTTGCCTTATATATTGCCAACCTGGATTTGATCCCCGGCATCTCATATGGTTCCCTGAGCTCTGCCAGGATTGATCCCCAAGGGCAGAGCCAGGAGTAAGTCTTGAGCACCCTAGATGTGACCCCAAAACAAAAAATACATAGAAATATTGTAATTTACATATTATCATAGGGCTGGAGCGATAGCACAGCAGTAGGGTGTTTGCCTTGCCCACAGCCAGCCCGGCTGAGCCGGGTTTGATTCTTCTGCTCCTCTCAGAGAGCCCGGCAAGCTACTGAGAGTATCTCGCCCACACGGCAAAGCCTGGCAAGCTACCTGTGATGTATTCAATATGCCAAACACAGTAACAACAAGTCTCATGATGGAGACGTTACTGGGCCCACTCAAGCAAATCGATGAACAATGGGAGGACTGTGACTGTGACATATTATCATGAATCAATACCAAGGTAGAATTCACAGTTACATTCTTAAAAATTTTCTGCATGGGTCAGAGTGACAGTGCAGTGGGTAGGTAGGGCTTGCACGTAGCCAACCCGTGTTCAATCCTAGCCACCCCATAGGGTGCCCCCTAGCACTACCATGTGTGATCCCCGTGTTTAGAGCCAGGAGTAAGTCCTGAGCACTAAGAGAGAAAGGCTGTCTTTACTCCGTCCATGTTCTCAGCTCCTTGGTTGACAATTAGTTGACCATAGGTATGGGGATTTGTCCTTGGGTCCTCAATTCTAAACATTGGTCAGAGAATTTATTCTTATTCCAGTACCATGCTGCTTTGATCACTGTAACTTTACAACACTGAATACATGTTATTCAAACTACAATGACCAGACTTTTTTTTTTGCTTTTTGGGTCACACCTGGCAATGCACAGGGGTCACTCCTGGCTCATGAACTCAGGAATTGCTCCTGGTGTTGCTTGGGGGACCAGATGGGATGCTGGGAATCGAACCCAGGTCGGCCGCGTGCAAGGCAAATGCCCTACCCACTGTGCTATTACTCCAGCCCCTAACCACACTTTTAAGGTAAAGGTAAAGGCCCTCCCGTTGATCGTCGATTTGCTCGAGCGGGCCCAGTAACGTCTCCATTGGAGACTTTGTTGTTACTGTGTCTGGCATATCGAATACTCTCGGTAGCTTGCCGGGCTCTCCGAGAGGGGCGGAGGAATCGAACTCGGGTCGGCCATGTTGGCCGCGTGTAAGGCGAACGCCCTACCCGCTGTGCTATCGCTCCAACCACACTTTTAAAATTTTAAAAGTCTGTCAAAGAAGCAGACTGGATATAGGAGGGAATCTGGGGTCACTGGTGGAAGGAAGCTGACACTTGGTGTGGGGCATTGTTACTTGAACATTATTGTTTGAACAGTGAATGCCTGAAATTCAGCTATGACTAACTTTGTAAATCATGGTGACTAAATAAAAAATATTTTTAAAAAAGATTAGGGGCCACAGCAATCATATAGTTGGTACGGTGCTTGCCTTGCACATAGCTGACCAAGACTCAATTCCCAGCATCCCATATGGTCCCCTGAGCCTGCCAATATTACTCCCTGAGCATCACTGGGTGTGTCTGTAAAATCAATATATGTGTGTGTACGTGAACATATATAGGTTTGTGAAGGACTCATGGGAGTATGATCTAGCCTTATTATTGTTCATATCCAAGTTAAGCCCTGGTCTCATGCATTTATTTGTTTGGTTTTTTAATTTTTGTATTGTTGTTTTGTTTGTTTTTATTTTTCTGGGCCACAGCTGGCAATGTTCAGGGGTTACTCCTGGCTCTGTACATAGGAATTACTCCTGGTAGTACATAGGGGACCTAACCCAGCTTGGCCACATGCCAGGCAAGCGCCTTACCCACTGTACTATATTGTCAGCCCCTATTTGTTTATTTTTAATGTTTGACCAGGAGGAGCAAGTCTGTAGGTGCTAGGGGGTGGTGGTAGGAAGTTCTCCTGCCTTAGTGCTCATGGACCCATGAGCTGGGACTTGAACCCAGGGCTCCTGCATACATGCCTGCACTCCAGCCAATTGAGCTCTCTCCCTTGCCCCTCACATTCCTTTCTGTCCTTGACCTCTTACTTTCAGATCTGCCTAGCCATTTTGTGAGCCAAAGTTTCTAGCCAAGGATTAATTAGGCTTTTTATTTTTTGCTGTGATTTGAATGACCTGGGAGGAAGCAGTGAGGGTGGTGCCCTGGCAGGTGGGCACCCTGGATTCTAGCACAGGACGGGATCTCAGCCCTGATTTTCGGGGTTCTCCCCTGCCTTCTCATTTCACTGCTCTCTTATCTTGCTCCTCAGGCCCACTGCTGGAAGACTGGGACATCATCAGTCCCAAGGATGTCATTGGCTCCGACATGCTGCTGGCTGAGAAACGCTCATCACTCACCACAGTGGCCCTACCCTTTACACAGTCCATTCTCTCTCAGGTGGTTTCAGGGACCCGGGGGTTGGGGGGCAGCTGTGGTTGGAGGGCAGAGCCCACCTGGCACCCCTGATTCTCAGCACCTGTTCCCCACCCCACTGACCAAGTAGCCTTCTTCCCACCTTCACCTGCAGGTGGGTCGCACCTTGTCAAAGGTTCAGCAGGTGCTAAGCTGGTCCTATGGGGAAGATGTCAAGCCCTTCAAGCCACCTCTCAGCGATGCGGAGTTTCACACCTACTTGAATCACGAAGGCCAGCTGTCCCGCCCCGAGGAGTTGCGTCTGCGCATCTACCACGGTGGCGTCGAGCCCTCCTTGCGAAAGGTGAGCCGGACTTTATGGGGCCACCTGGAAGAGCCATGACACCAGTGTTCTTCCAGGCTTGGAAGTTCTCCTGTGTGATCCCCTCCCCCCCCAACATCAAGAGTGAGAGGTAAGAAAGCAGACTTGGTTAGGCAGGTGGCCAAGTGGACCAGGACACACAGACCTATGCATGCTGATGTTAGTGGACACCTGCAATATCATCCCCTCTTGTCCCTGGCCAGGTGGTGTGGCGGTACCTGCTGAATGTGTACCCGGATGGGCTGACAGGCCGTGAGCGCATGGACTACATGAAGCGCAAGAGTCGCGAGTATGAGCAGCTGAAGAGCGAGTGGGCCCAGCGGGCGAGCCCGGAGGACCTGGAGTTCATCCGCAGCACCGTCCTCAAGGACGTGCTTCGCACTGACCGGGCCCACCCCTACTATGCGGGGCCTGAGGATGGGCCGCATCTGCGGGCCCTTCATGACTTGCTCACCACCTATGCTGTTACCCACCCGCAGGTCTCCTACTGCCAGGGCATGAGTGACCTGGCCTCACCCATCCTCGCTGTCATGGACCACGAGGGCCATGCCTTTGTCTGCTTCTGTGGCATTATGAAACGCCTGGCCGCCAACTTTCATCCTGACGGCCGTGCCATGGCCACCAAGTTCGCACACCTCAAGCTGCTGCTGCGACATGCTGACCCTGACTTCTATCAGTACCTGCAGGAGGCCGGGGCCGACGACCTCTTCTTCTGTTACCGCTGGCTGCTGCTCGAGCTCAAGCGCGAGTTTGCCTTCGACGATGCCCTCCGCATGCTTGAGGTCACCTGGAGCTCACTGCCCCCCGATCCGCCTGAACATGAGGTCGAGCTTGTGGGACCTCTCAGCCAAATGGCTGACACCAGCTTCAGTGGCCACCGGGGCCGGCCTGTGCGACAGCGGCACATGCTCAGGCCTGCCGGTGGGGGAAGTGAAGGTGGTGCCTTGGAGCAGGCTTTTGGCCACTTGGCCATGACCAGCCAGGGCCCCGGGGGTGGGGGACGGCTTCTGAGACAAGCCAGTCTGGATGACCTTCAGCAACTCAGGGATCATGCAGGCATGAGGAGGAACCTCAAGGCCCAGCTACCCCACCCAGTTATGTTGATCAGTTCCAAGTCCCTCTCTGAGCCCTGGCTGAACTCCCCAGATCCATTGCTCTCCTCTTCTTCCCGCCCCGATTCCCCATCATCCTCCTCTCCATCCTCTACCCAGGAGGCCTCCCCTGCTGGGGATGTGGCCACAGGCTCCCTTTTGATGCCCGAGGTGGGCTACGTACAAGAACCTGGGAAGTCCCTGACCAACTCCCCGCCCCTGGGCCTGCCCCCTCCACAGGAGTTTGGCCGGGGGAATCCGTTCATGCTCTTCCTCTGTCTAGCCATCCTGCTGGAGCACCGTGACCACATTATGCGCAATGGGCTGGACTACAATGAGCTGGCCATGCATTTTGACCGACTGGTGCGAAAACACCACCTGGGCCGTGTCCTCCGCCGAGCCAAGGCTCTGTTTGCTGATTACCTGCAGTCTGAAGTGTGGGACTCGGAGGAAGGGGCCGAGGCCACGGCCCCATCTTGATCAGCCGTCCTGTGAGCCCTCCTCTCAGTCCTCTGTTCTTTGTCATGAGGACCTTGTCTCAAGAGGGCTGACCTTACTTCCCTGCCTGCCAGCCTGTGACCACTCCAGGTCCTCTTTCCCCTGGTCTGAGAATTTAGGGCACCACCCATGGAGGCCAGTGACCTCTTGGTTTGCTCTTGTTTCATTTTTAACAACTGTACTTTGCACACCCTAAGGTCAATGAGGTCTGTGTATTTCTCTGCCGCATTCCTGGTTTTTATTGTAGACGGAGACCCTGGGGGCCTTTTTTACCGGACAGAACAGAAAGACTTGGGTGGGTGGAGGGCAACCCCTGCTAACCCAGAGAGTGAATAGGTTTGGATGGGTGAACCCAGGTTGAAGACTCTTGGAGAACCCTCTGTCTCCCTCTAAAGGTCTGGGAATATAGTTTTCAGGACAAGACCATGAGTGAGGACTAAAAGAGAAAATATCCCTAATTCCAAAAAGACAGAGCTAAGGATAAAGACTGGACAAAGACAGGCTTCTTACAAACACTGAGCCAGTCACCTCTGGCAAGCCACACGTCACTATTCCTAGGATCCAGACCATTCCCTCTCTGTCCTTTTCACCCTTTGGTTTTAGGGCCACACCCGCAGTGCTCAGGGATTATTCCTGGCTCTGCACTCAGGGATCACTTTTTTCATCTTGGTTTGGCTTTGGGGCCACACCTGACAGTGCTCAAGGCTTGTTTCTAGATCTGTGCTCAAGTATCACTCCTGGCAAGGCTCTGGGAGCCATATGCGGTGCCAGGGATCAAACCCCAATTGCCTTACCTGCTTACTATCACTCCAGTCCCTCAGGGATCACTCTTAGTGGTGCTTGCGGGACCCTAATTGGGTGCCAGGGATCGAACTCAGATCGGCCACGTGCAAGCCTGTACTATCCACTCCAGGACCTTCTCTGCATCTTAAACACTACTCTCATGCCAGAGAAATAGCTTGAGGCTGAGCACATGCTTTGCACACAGCAGACCAGGATCCCAGCCCTAGAACTGCATCCCCCAGCAGACAGCCAGGAGTAGCCTCTGATCACCTCTGGGTGTGCTCCCTGTTCCATAAAAAATTAACACTAACTTTGGCAAGTATTAGTTGTTTTTTAACACTAAGTGGGCATGGTTCTAAGACTTTTTTTTTGCATTTTGGGTCACACCCAGCGATGCTCAGGGGTTACTCCTGGCGGTGCTCGGGGGACCATATGGGATGCCAGGTATTGAACTCAGGTCGGCCGCATGCAAGGCAAACGCCTTACCACTATCACTCTGGTACTATGGTACTTTCACTCTGGCCCCTAAGACACTTTTCTTGTCATTTGTTTTGGGGCTTACTTGAGGGACTGTGGACTTGCCCGTGCTTTACTCTTAAGCCCTAAACTGGGTTTTCAGCTCCTGGATACCTGTCTTAACCATTTCAGAAATAGAAGCAGTTTGCCTGCTTTTTCCATTCTACCAGTGTGGAGAGAGAAATCAAAGCACCAATGAAGTTCAGGCCCCATAAGAAGCCCTCAACTTCTTTGGAAGGGAATGATTCAATGCAGGTTCTTTCCCCCACTTCATCCTCTCTCCAGAGGCAGATACTTTCCTGTTCCAGCTACTGTTCTCTCCCAAGGACATAGCAGGTGATAGGCAAGCTATCTGAGGGTTACTTAGGCTATATCCTCACCATGTCATGTTCTGACCCAAAGTTGCTGCCCTGAGCCATGCTGACAGAGATGGGAGCATGAGGTAAACCACCTTCTCATCTGTTTCTTCCAAGAATGTCACAGAACACTGGAGAGAATCTTCCGAAGCGCCTAGTCCCAGCACTGGAGAAGAAGCTGGCCAGTTGTTTGATGCGAGGTCAGGGACTGGAAGAGTAATACAAAACCAAGTATTATGACCATCTGCCCTGGGACTGGGGTGTTTTAACCTGGAATAAGGGGGGCTGGAGATGGGGCCATAATTATAGTACAGTGGTTAAGTGCTTGCCTTCCACATGGTTGACCCAGGTTTGATCCCTGACATCCCATATGGTAACCCCAAGCACCTCCAGGAGTAATTCCTGAGCACAGAGCCAGGAGTAACCCCTGATCATCACTGGTTGTGGCCCAAAAACCAATTTTTAAAAAGAGGGGCTAGAGATAAAACAGCAAGTAAGGCACTTGTCTTAGACGCAGCCAATCCACGTCAGTCCCCAGCACCCCATATGGTCCACAGAGCCCTGCAAGTAGTGATTCCTGAGTACAGAGCCAGAAGTAATCCCTGAGTATCGCTGGGTATGGCCCAAAACCAAAAGCAGTGTTCAGTCACTTTCCTCAGCCATCCAAGGTTTGGGTGTATCTGATCCTCTGAGGACCTGAATTGACTGTTTGGTCAGTGAGCAGTTAAAATCCCCAGGCACACACTGATGAGTGAGGTCAGAATTGAGAGGTCAGAAAAATCCCCTCTGCAAATGGCTGCCAGTAAAACTGTGGGCCAGCCAGGGAAGTCCTGTCTGGATCTGACATTTGGCTACCCTGAGGACAGAAAACTCTATTAGTCCCAAAGATTTCTTGCTTCCTGCCAAGATGACAAACATCACAAGTCACTGATTCCCTTGTCCTAACCCAGAGCTTCTGAAACTCTCCACTCAGGACTCTTCTTGCCCAAGAGATTTTAGTGTAAACCAAATAAAATAGGATACAAGGACTGGAGCAGTAGCACAACAGATAGGGCATTTGCCTTGCATGCGGCCCACCCGGGTTCGATTCCCAGCAACCCATATGGTCCCCTGACCACTGCCAGGAGTAATTCCTGAGTAAAGAGCCAGGAGTAACCCCTGTGCATCATCAGGTGTGACCCCAAAAAAGCAAAAAATAGGAATACAAAGGAAAAATTGACTGAGGCTGGGGAGGTTTTACAACGGGTAAGGCGCTGGCCTTGCAGTTGGCAAATTTTAATTGGATCCCCAGCATAAGGTCCCATGAGCCCTGCTAGGATTGATCCCTGAGACTGTTGGGTATGTCCCAAAGCAACAGCAACAAAAATCAGAAGAAATAGAGGCTGGAGTGATAGCACAGAGGGTAGGGCGTTTGCCTTGCATGCGGCCAATTCGGGTTCAATTCCCAGCATCCTTATATGGTCCCCTGACCACCGCCAGGAGTAATTCCTGAGTAAACTGTGTGCATCGCCGGGTGTGACCCAAAAAGCAAAAAAAAAAATCAGAAGAAATATTGACTAATAATTTTTGGGGAGAACATTGTCTGTGAGCCCCCACATTCAGTTCTGTTAACCCCTTGTGGGGTATGACCCACAGTTTAAGAAGCCAGGCCCCAAGCTGGGGAGACAGCTCCACATACTTAGTGCATGCTCTGCAGGCAGGAGGCCTGGTTCAAAAAGCACAGCCTTGGACCAGAGCGATTTTACAGCAGGGAGGGCATTTGCCTTGCACATGATTGACCCAGGTTCAATCCCCAGCATCCCATATGGTCCCTCCAGAACTGCCAGGAGTAATTTCTGAGTACAGAGCCAGGAGTAACCCCTAAATATAGCTAGGTGTGACCCAGAAAGCCAAAAAAAAGCTCAACCTTTGCCAGCCTTGGAAAAGGTACTGGGAGAAACATGGCTATGCAGACTGCAGCTCAAGAGTCTGGTGGGGTAAGGAGTTGTCTTTTGTGTTTGCATGTTTGTTTTGGGGGCCACACCCAACAGTGCTCAGGGTTTGCTCCTGGCTCTGTTCAGAAATCACTCCCAGTTTGGGGGGTGGCCTGTGGTGACTGACACATGCAAGACAAGTATCACTCCAAGCCCCAGTGCCTTTCTCTATGATTGGAGGTAACAATTTGACAAAGGATTGAGATTTCACTTCTGGCTTTGACCACTGCAGGCCCCATGTAAAGCACTTACTGGGAGAGGTGTCTGGAGCCTAATAAGAGGAAATGAAATAAGCTGCCAGGGACAATCACCCCTCCATTCCTCGAGACAGAAAGGCTAGGATGCCAGCAAGGGAGACAGCTTCCTTTTAAGGTGTGAAGATGAAAGCCCACAGAGAAACTGGAAAGCAAATGATAGAATTCACAATCTGTGGTACCTGGGTCTGTTGACCTACCAGGACTTCCACTACCCTGCAACTCCACATGATAGAGCAGAGTTCAGTCTGCCCTTCAACCTTCCTTCATATTTTACAAATTAGGACTGTTGCCTCACATCAGGGGAAGAAGATGTCAACTTCCACCCCCCCCCCCATTCGCCTCCACAAATCACAAGATGTCAGGGCTGCACCACTATCTCGAGGACAGAACTGGACGGTATTAATTATCTCTGACTGTATAATAAGTTAGCCCTCAAGTTCATTTATAGCAACAAATGTTTCTTTGCTTCTGAAATTCAGAGAACAGGAGAATAAGGAATTTGCTGAGCTGGGTGTTTTATTTTTACTTGTGAGGGATGTACTGGTTGTACTCTGTGAGTTCTTGCAGTGCTCAGGATCAAACCCAGGGCCTTGCACATAAAAGACAAATGTTTCACCCCTAAACATTAGCCAGGTGAGGGCCCAAGAGATAGTTCAAAGGAGCTCCAGGTTCGATCCTGCACTGCATAGTTCCAGTGAGCACTGCAAGGAGTAAACACAGAGCCAGGAGTAGCCCCTGAACACCAATGGTTATGGTCCCCAAACCAAGAAACAAACCAACTAACCTTAGTCAGGTGGTTTAGATTCAAGCACTTGCCTGAGGTCCTAGTTGTGAGTTAAGGAGCTTGAGCTCTATAGTGGGAAGGGCACTTGCCTTGCATGTAGCCAATCTGAGTTTGATCTGCAGCACCACACAGGGTCCCCTGAGCTGACCAGAAGTAATTCCTGAGGACATATTCCTTGAGCACCCTAATTCCAAAAAAAAGCTGGTCAACTAGGGATTCACTGCCGACATAAACTTTTATATGGCTATTAATGGGAGAGTTCAGTTTCTCACCACTGTAACCTCTGTGGAACACTGTGTAGCCAGTGAATCAGCAAGAGATCATGAGTAGACACTGCTGTGGTGTCCATTACAAATCAACCTTAGAAGCAACATGCCATAAGGGGCCAGAACAATAGTACAGTGGGTAGAGTGTTTGTCTTGCATGAGGCCGACCTGGGTTCAATCCCCTACATCCTATATGGACCCCAAGAAGTGCCAGGAGTAATTCCTGAGTGCAAAGAGCCAAGAGTAATCCCTGAGCGTTGTGAGGTGTAGCCCTAAAACAAAAACAATATAGAAGTGGTAGGAGCAGCAATGAGATAGTAATGCAGGTAGGGTACTTGCTTTGATGTGACTGATCTAGGTTTAATCCTTGGCACCCCATAGGATCACAAGCCCCTCCAGGAGTGATCCCTGAGCACAGAATCAGTAATAAGCCCTGAACACCACTGAGTGTGTCCCAGAGGCCCCTGAAAAAGTATTTTTGAGAATATTATTGACAGAATTCTGTCAGAATTTTTTTTTTTTGCTTTTTGGGTCACACCCAGTGATGCTCAGGGTTACTCCTGGCTCTGCACTCAGGAATTACTCCTGTCAGTGCTCGGGGGACCATATGGGATGCCGGAGATCGAACCCAGGTCGGCCACGTGCAAGGCAAACGCCCTACCCACTATGCTATCGATCCGGCCCCTCTGTCAGCATTTTTAAAAGAATGAGAAACACTGATGGGAAAAGGAAAAAAAAAGACACAAAAAGTAGATAAAAATTTGTAAACCGATAAAAGGCATTTGAAACTCCAAAAAATGCACACTTCTGCAAAAATTGATGCAAAAGTAAATAGACAATGAATTACTTTAAAGAAAAACTGCTGAGGGGCTCAAACAATAGCACTGTGAGGAAGGTTCCTGCCTCGCATGCACCCAACCCTTGTTCAATCTCTGTCCCCCAAACCCTTCCAGGAATTATCTCTGAGTACAGAGCCAGGAGTAATCCTTGACCATCTCAGAATGTGGCCCCAAAGTAATTAATAAATGAAAGTAAAAGAGAAGGAATTACAGAATTACACTGCTGGATGTGGCCGCCAAAACAACCAAAAAATATTTTTGGCCAAAGCGATAGTACAGCTGATAGGAAACTGGCTTAAGTTTGATCCCTGGCATCCCATATAGACTCTCAAGCAGCACAAAAAGTGATCCTCGTGTGAATCAGGAGTAAGCTCTGAGCACCAGAAAGTGTTGCCCAAAAGCTAAAAGAACAAAAAAAAAGAGGAAGGGCCATAGAAGTAGCTTGATGGGCTGAAAGCATTCTTTCCATGCAGAAGGCTCAGATTGGCTCCCTGGCACTGCATGGTTCCCTGAGTACTGCCAGGAGTATCATAGAGCACTGAGTGAGAGTAACTGTTGTGCACTGCTGGGTGTTGAGCACTGTGGCACTCCAAACAAAAAAAGCAAAAACTATTTGCTAAGGTTCAGCACCTGTTTAAGATATGTTTGTTTTCTTGCTTTTGCAGTGCCAGAGACAAAACCCCAAATCTCACACATGCAAGGCATATGCTCTACCACTGAACCATGTCCCCGAACCTATTTTATGATATTTTATCTATTTTTATTTTGGTGGGCACACCCAGTGGTGCTCAGGGCTTATTCCTGGATCTGTATTCAGCGATTACTTCTGCCAGGGCCCAGGGACCATATGGGGTGCAAAAACTGGGTTCGCTGTGTGCAAGGCAAGTGCTCTATTCGCTTCACTATCTCTCCAGCCCCAGATCCCAGACATTTCAAGAAGCAAACAAAGATCTTTTTGTCTACTGGGGTTCAGATTCTCCAAGGGTGCTCTAAGACCAGTATGTACAGGCTAGAAAGCTATTCATGTCATCCTGGGCATAGGAAACAAAACTAAAATAAGTCCATTTTGTGGATGCATAACATATTGTACTCTGAAAATGAACAAATCTAGTCTGAGATGGAAAAATATCCTTCTTTTTTGGGGGAGGGGTTTGAGCCTCACCTTGCACTGCTCCAGGAACTACCCATGGTTCAGTGCTCTTTGTTCATTGCGTGAGATCACTTTTGGTGATGCTTGTCCAACCAGCATTGCTGGAATGTAATGGGGGTTCCTGCAAACAAAATATGCGCACTAGCCCTTTGAGCTATTTCTTTGCTCCAAATCCAAGTAAAGTAAAGGCCCTCCCGTTGTTCATCGATTTGCTCGAGCGGGCCCAGTAACAGCTCCAAATCCAAAATAAAGTTTATTAAATTAGGGGCTGGAGCGATAGCACAGTGGGTAGGGCATTTGCCTTGCACGCAGCTAACCCGGGTTCGAGTCCGAGCATCCCATATGGTCCCCTGAGCACCGCCAGGAGTAATTCCTGAGTGTATGAGCCAGAAGTAACCCCTGTGCATTGCCGGGTGTGACGCAAAAAATTTATTAAATTCATTTCATGGAAGTCCTTTCTGTGAATCAATGACTGTTCTGTCTTAATACAAAAACTGTTCTGTGGATTGAGAATCACTCCACTTTCTTGTGGTGAGGGGCACACCTGGATGTGCTCAGGGTTTACTCCTGGCTCTGTGCTCAGGAATCACTCCTGATGGGGCTGAGGGGACTTTATGTGGTACCTATGATTGAATCTGGATTGACTGTGTACAAAGCAAGTGCCCCGCACCTATATTATCTCTTGGATCCTATGAGAATCATTCCCTTTGAAGATCTGCACATTTTGTTTTTTAGAATGTAATTCAGGCAGTGTACTGGTGGAGAAATTGAGACAATCTTCAAGTGGTTTTCATATATGGATGAAAGCTGTTCATAAATTACAAGGAATCCCTGGCACTGCATCTGGTCCTTTCCAGCCCCACTAGGAGTTGTCCCGAGAGCAGAGCAGGATTAAGTCCTGAGCACTTCTAGGTGTGCCACTTGCCCCAAAAAAGACAAGGAATGAGACTAGAGAAAATAGGCCCACGACAAAAGACTAAAATTTGCACAAAGAAGAAAATGGCCAGACATCACAAGCTTCCCACAGTACCACCAGGAGTGACCCCCAGCACCAAGCTGTGAAGTAATTCCTGAGCATCACCTGGTTTAGCTCAAAGAAAAAAAGGAAGGAGGGAGGGAGGGAACAAATGTAAGAAGGATGGAAATAATTCAAGAAATCAAGAAAGAAAAAAGTAAGAGTCAGCATCAGATACTGAGAATATGTAGGGTCTGAAGTTAAAAAGTGTGAAGGGGCCCTGGAGAGATAGTACAACTTGCCTTGCACACGGAGGACGTATGTTGGATACCTGGTACCACATACAGTGCCCCAGCCTTGCAAGAAGTGATCCCTGATGGGGTCGAAGAGGTAGTTTAGCGGGCAGGGCATTTGCTTTGCACGCGAGTCACCTGGGTTCAACCCCTGGCACATCATATGGTCCCTTGACCATCTCCAGGAGTGATTCCTGAATAGAGCTAGGAGAAACCCCTGAACATCGCCAGGTGTATTACAAGAACCAAAAACAAAACGAAGAACAAAAGTGATCCCTGAGCCAGAGCCAAGAGTAAGCCCTGAGTACACTTGGGTATGCAAAAAAAAAACAACAACAACAAAAAACAACAGTCTGTGAAGGATAATAACCTCAGAAATGGGAGGGGATAAAACATGTGGCTTTAGTGGGATGTGAAGTGAAAGATGGCAAAACCAATACAGGAACCGATGTAAAGGATGCGAAGCAGATGGAAAGGGGTGTGAGTTAGAACAAGTTCGTGTAGAGTAAGGATGGAGATGGCAGGATCTGTGGAGGAATGCCGATGCCCGGGTGCACCAATCAGACAAAGGTCTCCATCCCCGGAAGAGCGCCGATCACACTGCTCCCAGGCTCCGCCTTCCTCTCACCACGCCCATTTCTAGTCTCAGCCAATGAGCGCACACGTTGGCGGGGACGTTCTGCTATAGCCACTACGTAAGCTTTATCAAGCGCCTTCCCGCGCGCCGGCCTCCTCACTCTTTCAGCTTCTTGGCGGCTCCAGTCTGTGCGGCTTTTTCTCTTCATTTCCAGGTAAGCCGCGATGTCCAACAGTGCGAGCCCCTCCTAGCCTCACTGATGTGCGCTGCGAAAGCGGAACAGCGAGGCTCCCAAGTAGCGGCTTCTGACTCGTAGGCTTGGGCTTCTCTGAGGCGGGACAGTCGCAAACTCGGAGGCGAAACATTTCGTTTTGGGGAAGGCTGGTGCTCTGACTGCGAGGACTGTCGGGAAGGGCTGGCGGCGTCGGTGGCGACATTGACCACGCGACAGCCGAGACCGAAGGCCCCCCCTTCTTCCCCTCCTTCCCCACGTGACCGCCGCCATCTTGTTCTGCGGGCGCCGAGGAAACGCAAAGGTTTTCTGGGCCTGCACAACGGTAGAAAATGACGGGCGTGGTGGTAGTAGTAGTGGATGTTGTGAGCATGCGCAAAAGCGCCCCCCGTGGCAACCGCGCGGAGCTGGCCCTGCAGACTCGACTTTTTTGCCTGCTTGCTCAGCCTCCTTGGTTAAGTTTTAGTGCCTCGTGTCTGTTTTCCGCCCGCTTCTCCTTGCCTTTTGTTGTTGTTGCTTTCTTTTTTGTGGACCTTTGCTTAGTTCCCCCATCCTGCCGCCTGGTCTTCCCACCCTCATTCATACTCTTTCCCCAGGACTCTTAAGTCACCGGTATGTCTTCGGAAGATGGAAAACTCTTCGTGGGAGGGCTCAACTTCAACACCGATGAGCAAGCGCTGGAAGACCACTTCAGCAGTTTTGGACCCATTTCTGAGGGTGAGAGCTGGAGAAGGTGATGTTTGGGGCCCAGAGAATCCTCGCGAGGAAAGTCAGGACCCTACCCTCACCCCCCTTCCGCCGCCTTTCCTTCCTTTGTTTCTAAGCCGTAATTGTAAGCTCAAACAGCGGAATAACTTAACCTTTATTATTTTGCGGATGATGGACAGCTCCATTCTCTACTGACAACCTTCCTTGCCACTCATTCTCTCCCCCCCACCCAGTGGTCGTGGTCAAGGACCGGGAGACTCAGCGTTCCCGGGGTTTTGGCTTCATCACCTTCACCAATCCAGAGCATGCCTCTGATGCCATGCGCGCCATGAATGGAGAGGTGAGACCTTCTACATGCATAGGGGCCCTTGCCCGTACCTGCCGCTTCCACAGTTTTTACCCCCTCTGTCTGCTAGGGGCAACGCGGCCACCCAGCCCCGCAGTGCCCACTCACAGGAGCGTGACTGCCTTCTGTTCTAGGGGGTGGAGGGCAGCGGCAGAGAGAGCCGGGCTGCCTGGGAGGCGACGACTGGTCCTGCATGAGACCGAGAAGCCACCTGTGGATGGTTGACCTGCCATGGGCTTAGGTAGTAGAGTCTGCAGACCTGTGGGCCTGGCCCGGAGAGGACCTCGTGAGTCTTCTGGGATGGACTCAAGCCTCAAACCGAGAGAGGTGTCTGTCTAGCCCTAATAGTTGGGCAGCTTTAGAGGAGTGGGGAGGAGAACTCGGCCTGAGTTCAGTCAAGATGTAAGTAGTGGCAGAGGGAACACGGTGGAATCAGGTGATTGTGGGAGTGTAAAGCTCTTTAAGACCACTCTGGTCAGAGGAACTTGTTCTGGAACATGGCACCCAGAACCTGGTGCCCACACGAGATTCTGGGCCCTTTTGCCCACTGCCCTGCCCTTTCTTGCCTCGCCACTTACCTGCCTCATCACCCATCCATCCTTGTTTCTCCACACCTAGTCTTTGGATGGCCGCCAGATTCGTGTGGACCACGCAGGCAAGTCTGCCCGGGGAACCCGAGGGGGTGCCTTTGGGGCCCACGGGCGTGGTCGCAGCTACTCCAGAGGTAAGTGGATTGTGTGGTAAGTTGAATCATGAGGTGCAAAAGAGACCTGCCTGATGGTTGTCTATTTCCAATAACTCTCATTTAACTATCTGCTGTAGGTGGTGGGGACCAGGGCTATGGGAGTGGCAGGTATGACAGTCGTCCTGGAGGATATGGCTACGGATATGGAAGGTCCCGAGACTATGGAGGCAGGTGGGTAGCAAGATGTTGAGGTACTAGTGCTGAGACTTTCTTCTTTGGTGCCATAACTACTTGTATCTTCGTATTGATCTCCCTTCATGTTATTTTTGTGTGCTTTTTTTCTTAATGTACTATTTTTGTATTGTGCTGATAGAGTATTAATCTAGATCATACAGTAGATGATGCATGTGTGCTTTTATGTACCGTGTTGGTTGTTCCTTTGTGACATGGTGTTTAATCAGATTCACAGGGCTGTGTGTAAGTTGATTATACATATTTATTGCTTAGACTGCCTTTTATGCTTGCTAAAAGTTCATGCTGTATTTATAACTTGACACAGGCTGTGTAAATACGGTTTTTAATGTGGCAGGGGTGGGCAGGGCTGGAGGGAGTGTAACACAGTTGGTTTTTTCCCAGAAGCCAGGGTGGTTATGACCGCTACTCAGGAGGAAATTACAGAGATAATTATGACAACTGAGATGAGGCATGCACACCTAATGTAGGTGAGACTTCTTTGCAGATCTCTGTCCCCTGGTCTTATCACATTCCTCTTTCCCGTCCTTCCTCAACATTCTTGGCCGGCCTCTCTGACACCACCATCCCTTGTTTTCCCTTGTTTCCAACTGCCTATTAGAGCTTAGGCAGCCTTGGAGGAATAATGGGGGTGTATAAAAACCAGTCATTCTTATTTTTTCTTCCTGCTGGGCATTGAGGAGATGAAGGGGTGTCCCCTTTGCCCAGCTCTCAGCATCTGTTTCATTCCTGGGAGGTAAGCATGCTAACTTGTACCTTCCCGACATCACAATTGTCCTCCTTCTTACTGTTCTCAGATACACAAGGAATAAAACTTCTGATCCAGGACCATCCTTTCAAATGGCTGTATTTATAAGGATTTTTGGAGCTGCACTGAAACAACTTTTAGTATGTCAACTTATATTTTTGAATTGAGCTCCCAAGGTAGCTTGTTTAACCTTTTTAGTAAGCTCCACATTTTTAAGCAATTTCTTCCCATTGCAAATTTACAAATTTGAGGACATTTTTAAACTGGGTGTTTTTCCTTTCACTAGTTTATTAGTTTGGACTCAGGATTATTGTTCTGGCAAAGAAAAAAATGCCAGATATTTTAAGATAAGGTGCATTTACAGATATTTCTTAAAAACCCATATACGATGCTTGTACTTGGGAAGCAATTTCCGAATGTAACTACAAGAAATCTGCATCAAGATTATGATAACGTGAGGGTTTTTTTTAACTCAAGCTCACACCACTCAAATTATATAGAAGTTTCTTAAAAATATGAATGTGAATGTCATTTTTTTAAGTACTGGAAGAAAAATATTCTGTTGTGTTTCATGTAGCATTTAGGATGTCCTTCAAGGAACTGATTAAAAAGTTGAAACCTGAAAATAAATTGCTATCTATAGTGCTTTTTCTTAACCTAGTTTGTGAGTTAAAAATAGGAGGCCAGGAGGAGGAAGACACTCAGAAAAATTTCTTGGTAAGTGGGTGGGCAGGGGTTTCTCAGAGTATAGCATCCTCAGGTTTAAAGTCTGGGTTGGTTTGTGTGGGAATACATGATGAAGCCTGAAAGAGGTGGGGCCAGGTCTAGATGAAAGCCTCTTATGTCAGAAACTGGGTTTCTTGGTCCCCTGGACTCATTATCCTTATGAGTGTCAGTTTGTGACTCAGCTCGGAAGTTTGAATTTCACTAAGGTATTCAGAGTATTTTCAGGTAGGTATCCTCACAGAATTGTAAGAATGAAAGTCCCTGGTGGGAGCTGCATAAAGAGTAATTCCAGTTTCTTATCCTAAGCACTGGGACTGGGGAGGGTGTACTGAATTCACCTGAGTGTTGGGAATGGAAAATTATGGTTTGAAAACATTTCTGAGAGCCCAAACTTTTTTTTTTGCTTTTTGGGTCACACCCAATAATGCACAGGGGTTCCTCCTGCTCAGGAATTACCCCTAACGGTGCTCAGGGGACCATATGGGGTGCTGGGAATCAAACCCGGGTTGGCCGCGTGCAAGGCAAACACCCTACCCGCTGTGCTATTGCTCCAGCCCCGAGCCCAAACCTTGGAATCCAATTCCAGGATTTGAATTTGAACTATCCTTTAGATTCTACTTTACCATGCCAAAGTCATTGAACCTATACCTCAGCCATACAAAGCTTCCATATTTTTTTTTGTTTTTGGGGGCCATACACAGCAATGCTCAGGGATTACTCCTGGCAGTGCACAGATCAATCCTGGTGGGGCTCATAGACCATATGTGATGCTGGGGATTAAATCATCGTCAGCTGTGTTCAAGGCAAGCACCCTACTTGCTGTACTATATCATGCCATCCTTGCCTTTCAGCAACATTTTTTGTTTTGGTGAGCCACAGTTGGTGTTGCTCAGGGTTGAGTCCTGGCTCTATGCTTAGGACCAACTCCTGTTAGGTTCAGGAGACCTGGGTCAGCTGCCTGCAGGGTGGACTCCTTCCTTACCTGCATGTGCTGTCACTCTGGCCCACTTTCCACGTTTTCTGTGGAGGGCTGTGTATATTCTATTAGGCATACATACATAGAGTGAGCCTGTGAAAGTAGTTGGCAAGGTCTCATGGGGATCCAATTTTATGGGAAGGTCCCAGGTTAAGATGATAAACGTGTTTCTTACAACCATTCTTTTTTCAAATTTTTTGCTTTTTGGGTCACACCTGGCATTGCACAGGGGTTAACCTCTTGACTTTGCATTCAGGAATTAACTCCTGTCAGCGCTCAGGGATGCTGGGATGCTGGGAATCGAACCCGGGTTGGCCGCATGCAAGGCAAACGCCCTACCCGCTGTGCTATCCCTCCAGCCCTCTTACAACCATTCTTGGTTACATGGTTCTAGTTTCTTCATTAGTTTCCCATCAGTTCTCTTCCTCTCAGTTGGGATTTATAAGCTGTGCCCATGTATTCTATGACTGGTGTTCAAGTTTTGGACATCTTTGTCAGTTTTGGGGTCACATAGCTATGCTCAGAGGTTACTCCTGGCTCCACTGAGAAATTACTCCTGGTGGTGGTTGGGGAACCATGTGGGATGCTGGGTATTGAACCTGGGTTGGTCATGTGCATGGCAAATGCCCTACCCCCTGTACAATCTCTCTGGTCCCCACAAATTCTCAGACATCTTGAATAAACTAGTTTGCGTTTGTGGGACCATGTTGTCATGGACTGATCAAGTGCCTTCAGAATCCCTATGTTGAAACCCAGCCTTGCAATATGATGATCAAAGTATTGATGCTACCTTGGGGGTATGCTCTAATGTACAATGAAGCCTTCTTTGCCTTGTCATGATGAGATAGAAGATGTTGGTGTTCTGCCTTCAAAGAATGTCCTCACAGAGCTGCTGGCACCCTGATCTCAGACTTGCCAGCTTCCAGAGCATCCAGGGTTGTATGGAAAAGATACCTAGTTGCCCGTGGTGTAGACAGCAATCCAAACTAGCCACATTTCTTTCTAGATTGTGAGAGGCTGAACTTTGCTGTCCTGCCTCCTGTATCTTAGTTGAGACCGGCTCAAAGAACCCTTCCAACCAAAACATCCATTTGCTTTGGCAGGTGGATGAAGACTTGGGAACTTCTCAGACCTCCTACTTGGCCTACTGAGCCAGGCCCAGGTAAAGGGGCATTCTAGCTACTCGTACAACTTGGATTCTTGGTCAGGAGGCTTTCTATGCTGAACTTAGCAGAGCCAGCTAAGCAGTGGGAGCTGGGAGAACTACCATGGCGGTCAGGGAGGTACCTCCACACTTCAAGAAGTAAAGTGGCAGCTTCAGCTGGGATATGACAGCAAGATCACGTGGACTTGGATTTGTGAAGCCTTGGGGTTTGGTCACTGACACCAACAAAGGAAAACCCAAACCAATATCCCTCTAGTTAAAATTAGATAGTACAGGTGTTAGACTTACTCTTGCATCTGGTCACCATTGGTGGGATGCCCTGTGCACTTACCATCACTGCTAGTGTGGCTTTCCCCTCAATGAAAACCTGGAGACTACCCGCTGTACTATCTCTCCAGCCCCGCTTTTGAGCATTTTGAAGGTGTCAGAGTGGCTTCATATGTCAAAACTAAACACTCACATCCCTGTTATCTAAACTACTGGACTTTTTCCGCTTTTGGGCCACATCCATCAGTGCTTAGGGCTTAGTCTTGGCGCTGCATTCAGATCACTACGGACATGACTTAGGAGGCTATATGGGGTGCAGAGGATTCAACCTGGGTAGACCACACAGAACAATTGCCTTACCTGCTGTTGTTATTTCTCTAATCCTAATAAATTTTTGTTCTGTTTTTTTGGGTTACACCTGGTGCTTCTTGGAGCTTACTCCTGGTTTCATGCTCGGGGATCACTTCTGGCAGACTTGGGGGACCATATGGGGTGCTGGGATTGAACCCAGGTTGGCCACTGCAAAGAAAACGCCCTACCAACCCCACAGACTTGAAAGTGTATTCTGCCTGTGGGAGGTCCTGCACCTCTTGGGTCCCTCAACACTGATGCTGTCAGATGTCAGCCCCCCAAAAATAACTCCCTCATCTCCAATGTGAGCCGAGACAGGAGATTATAATCAACCTCGATATTCTGCAACAAAATTAATCCCCTAAAGACAAAAATGAGGGATTGGAGACCTAGTATAGGAGTTAGGATTCTTTTTCTTAAGCTTTTTGGGTCACGCCCTGTGATTCTCAGGAATTACTCCTGCCTCTGCACTCAGGAATTACTCCTGGAAGTGCTCAGGGAACCATATGGGATGCTGGGGATCGAATCTGCATTGGTCAGTCAAGTGCAAGGTAAAGGCCCTACCTGCTGTACTTTCTTTTTGGTCACACCCGGTGATGCACAGGGGTTACTCCTGGCTCATGCACTCGAATTATTCCTGGCAGTGCTTGGGGGACCCTATAGGATGCAGGGAATTAAACCCGGATCAGCCGTGAGAAAGACTGTATTATCGCTCCAGCCCCTGCTGTAGTTTTTTTTTTTTTTTTTTTTTGGCCCAAGTACAGTAGTTATGGTTCTTGTCCTGTCTAATCCCCAACAGCACATGGTACCCTCTTCAACTCGAGGAGCAACTCTCCCCAGAACAGTGTCCGTGTCCTCCAGCATTGACAGATGTGACTCAAGCCCACCTCCCACCCCCCCCCCCCCCCGGCCCCAGTACAAATACTAACCTTCCCAGACCTGAAGAGCAATGTAACCAATTTCTCTGTTGACCTCTGAAGGTGATTAATCCAGTGTTATTCTAGTGTAAAGGTAAGAGTAGGTGGTCTCCCCTTTTGGGGTGGGGGGCATGCCTAGTAATGTTCAGGGCTTACTCCTGTCTATGAACTCAGGAATTGCTCCTGGTGAGATCAAGGGACCATGTTGGGTGTTCGGGAATAAAACCTAGGTAAGCAACTTGAAAGACAAGTGCTCTATGCTTTGTACTATTTCTTCAGCCTTGTCAATTTTGCTTTATGGAGTGAGGTGTAAGATTCACAGTATGTTTTCTCAGGGACTATATTACTAATCAATAAGTTGTTCAGACATAAATCTGACCAAGGTCAGCAAAGGGTTCTACCCCTACACAAATTACTTCACTTTCAGGCCCCAAATATTACTATGACAAATGAAGCAATAAAGTTTCAAGTCTTTTTTTAGACATTCCTTTAACATTTCAAGGTCCAGGATAAATACAAGACTTGCATCTCTTCCCTTTATGGACTGAATTCTTTTTGGGGAGTAGGGAGCCCACACTCAGCTATGCTTAGGGTCGCACCTGGGGTGTGCTAAGTGCTTATTCTTGGCTCTGCACTCAGGGATTACTCCTGCTGAACTTAGAGGACCATATGGGATCCAGTGATCTAATCTGGGTCAGCCACATGCAATACAAATGTTCCTGAAATCATTCTTAATGTCCTGCTTCCTGTTTAATTTCTATGCCTTGGGTTCAAGAGGCTGAGTGTTTACTTTGTATTTGGAGCCTTGGTATTGGCCCTTAGCACCACATTATTCCCCAAAGTAGCTCTCCCCACAGGGAAATTGCTGTACAGTTAGGAATATTGAATGTGACATACTTATTTTTGGTTTGGGAGCCACGCCCAGCAATGCTCAGTGGTTATTCCTTGCTCTGCACTTAGAAATCAATCCTGGTGGGCTTGAAGGACAATATGGGATGCTAGGGATCAAACAAGGCAAGCACCCTACCTGCTATACTATATCTCCAGCCCCTGCGTGTGATGCATTTAGAACAGTATATCCTATCATTCTGGGTTTCATGGTGTAGTCAGTTTTTGAAAAGAAGTTACATAGACTGAAGTACTTCAGTAGGTAAGATGCTTACCTTGCACATGGCCAACTTAAATAGAATCCCCAGCACCCCATATAACCCCCCCCCAAGACCT